CTTGTGAATGGGATTAGGTGACATGATGCCTGCGAAATCACTAGACTCATTTGCCCAGGAAGGGATGTTTGCGGGGTTTTGCCGTAGCGGTGAAATGGAGAATGGGCTCTTGAGCTCCATGTGCACCACTGAAGGTCAGCACGTTTATGTGGAAGTTGTGCCATTTGTATGAGACCAGGCAGTGTCCACACAAATGGATGGTATCTTGGAATAAGTGTTCAACGTTCATTTTCCTTGATAGAGAAGAATATCACATTGCAGGCAATTTATCACATTAATTTTTTGATTTTTTTTTTAAATTTCAAGCATAAGTACTGAAGTCTTTTCACTTGCAAAATCACTAGGGGCTCTGCTGGAGGTCTGATACATTTTGGCACTCTGCAAACTCACGAGTTGGTCATGGCGTGTATTTGTGGAGCTTATACTTGCCAATATGACTTGTTTGCACAGAATAAAAAATTCAGCAGGGCATAAGAGATAAAAACTAAATTTCCCTTTCTAAAAGTAATATGGGAATTAGCCTACATTACAGAGCTTAAATTACACTGATTCTCCTCCGGGGTTGGAATAAAATTTTCAAAATCACCTCTAATCTGTGAAGAATCTAAACCATATGGAAATCTTCCTAATTTCCCTGGGTGTTTTTGACACTCTTACCCATAGGTCTCAGAATATTTTTTTTCTGGTGCAACAATCTCATTTCCAGGTGTGAGATTTTTCAGTGATAAAATAGTTACACCACAACTTTCTAGTGTCAAAGAACTTGCATCAATAAGGGAATAAAAATACTAATAGATAATATCACTTGTAATAATGCAAGTGAGTTGTGCTAGTTTTAATTATGTCAGTGCAGTTGATGTTGTCATTTTCCTACGTACAAAGACCCCTTCAGCTCCTGCTCCTTGCTTAAAAATAGGTCATGGGTTCAGAAAAGAATTAGGACTTTACAAAAGTTGTTTTTCCTTTGGGCAGAGAAACAACTGCTTTGGAGCTCTGCCTCTGAGAAACAAAGATTGCTGCGATTTTTTACTAGGCCTTTTGCAGTACTGATACAGCATTTTTTTGGAGCTCATTGCCCATAGCAATCTTTCAGCCCTGTGGTTCATATCCTATTTTTGAAAAGCCATTTCCTTTCAGTGCACATGTCTTTTCCCTGTGTTTATATGAAGCAGTCAATGGGGCTTTCAGCCGTAAGGATCAGAATGAAATCAAATAAATTACTTCCAAAGATAGGAAACCATTTCACACCTTGGAGCCTCATTTTGCTCCAGATGTAGCATGTTACAGCTCATGCCAGTTAGAGCCAATTATAAACCAACTGACCTGTCGCAACACTTAAAATCTTGGTAGAATTTGCACTTTGCCTGCAAGCCGACACTTCGTTTTCATCCCTTTTGGGTTTGGATCTGTAGCTGTGAACAGGGTGTTTGCCTTGGTCTAATAATTAAAGTGGGTTTTCATTCACTCTGCTGTTAAAAAGAGGTGTATCGATACATGCGTTTGATGAGGTTCTGTAAGAAATACAGTTCCTGCTAGCATTTAAAAAGAAATCCAAAGTAAATTTAGGTTGAACACAACCAGATATACAGTGTTTACATTAATTCTGGGTTTTTTTTTTTAAAGGGAGTGGTAACCTTTAGTTACGATTTATGGAGGTATTTATTACCACATCTATTCCAAGGGTTTTCTCACACCCCTTCATTCTAGAGGAACTATTTTGATTCAAAAACAACTTTTAATTGACTTTTTATCTTTCAGTGTAGAACGTGTTTGTGGTACATTGCCAGTCAAGCAGCCTGCAGAGAACTGCAATTCTTGTCTCAGGACTCTGAGTGTGTTGATGGTGGTTGATGCTCATTTGTGTTTGATTACTTCAAAAAATATTAATCCAGCCTCAGTTTTAGAGTTTTTGGATTGGGTTGGGGAAGGAGGTGACATTTTGTCTTATTTAGTATTGTACTTGCAGACTTTTAATATACAAGTGCTGATTTTGGAAGTATATGACAAACACATGTCGGAAAGAAGGTAACAGTTTATCTATGGTGAAGTCCAAATGTAGAGTTTAAATCCTAGCGGGGACCTAGGTACCAGGAGGATGGAAGCTTTGCTGTAGCAAGTACCACCTACTTGCAGTGTGCTCCATGCCTCACTTTTCCTGTCTATAAAATAGAGCTGATAAAACTTGCCATCATTTACATAGTGTTTTGATATCAGGTTTCTCTCCAAGTCTGAAGTAACGTTAATTATTAGTCGTGGGGCTGCTGTTTCCCTTTGATTTCTCCCCACCTCCATATTACCATGTATGCAGCCCCTTCTTCAGGACAGAGGACAGGCTAAACCACCCTCGCTGAGATTACTCCATCACCTCTAATGGTGTAGCACAAAGCCATTCATTGCTCCACTCTGGAGTCTAAAGTCTCTGAACTTTATTAGCCCAAGGGAGTGGTAGGCCCAAGCGTGCTCCGAAATGCCGATCTCCTGTTTTGATAACTGAGCTCTAAAATCAAGATAAACAAGCTGCCCTATATACTGAACATGTCCTAATTGCACACGTCAAGCAAACCAGCCAATCGATGAGTGCGTGTCGTCCGCTAATGAATATTTGTAGTTTTAGAAGATTTCATATGTGATATTCCTTGTAGTTTCTGCAGTTATTAGCAGAGTGGCTTTGAAGACCCTGTTCAGGAGGAGTACCTGGCTTTATCTAGACCAAGAAACTGTGTAATTTAATTTCATATGTTAGCTGGGCATGGTCACTCTTATTCAAATTGTATTAGCTAATACATCTTTAAAACTGTTTACACTGTGTGCAAAGTTGTGTTTAAAAGCCTATTAGCTGATACATTTCCTAGTCTAGACTTGGGGAGGGTTGACTCCCTGAAGAACTCATAGCAAGACTTTGTTTACTTGCAGGGGGTAGAAGAGGGAGGCGAGGAAAGAAGGGGTAATGATGTTTGAAACCGTCCAAATGACTTTTGCTGTGCCAAATATTCTGCTGTCTGTCCCTCTCCTCGCTTTTATTATTGCTAAGATTTTTTTTATTGAGAGGTGGCTCTTAAGTCGTGAGGGTGACTTTGCAAACCATGGGAGTATTGCCACCAACCAAGGTCTTGGGCATTCGGCGTCGGGAGCCAGGGCTCTCTGTGGGAGCAGTAGGAAGAGGAAGGCACAGAAGAAGCATCTGAGTTGGAGTGGCCAGTCTGGCGGGAGCCCCAGAGAGCCACACGCTAAGACTTTTATTGAACCAGAAACACATCATGGACATTCAAGAGCCAAAGAGAAAACTTTCTTGGTGGGAGGTAGCAGTGGGGTTTCGGATGTAGCCCACTAACAGGAGAATGCGACTGGATTTGATGTATAGGTTGCTCCCAGAATGACCTGATAATAGGACTTCCTTCCTTCTACAAGTCACAGACAACGTAAGTGAGGAGTCCTGTACTTCAGCTCGCAGTCCAGCACCTTACTGACACATACGTAAAGAGTCTGAGTTCCCAGGGCGGGTACCTGAAGCAATCACTAAGACATCAAGTGGTGTGAATATCTTCAGTGTTGCTGATGGAAAATCATCTAACGCCTTATAGATTCTGCTGCACTCTAAGTTTCTAAACATCCCTGGGTTTGGTTTTCTTTCCCTCATCACTCAAAGTAGGTCTCAGAAGGTAGGTGTGATGCTACAGTTGACAGGTTAGGCAGGAATACCAAACCCATTGCTGTTTGCTTTTACGAAGTCTGGTTTTACTGTAACTTGCCATAGTTGTGATTTAGTGGTGCAAGTGGCATATCTTTGGAGAAAAACAGTATTATCTCAGACAAGCATTAAATACTGTATAATTCCAAACTCAAATGATGGCATGGATTACTAACTTAAAATGCAGACAATGTCTCAGATCGCAGTCATACTGCCTTTTGAATATCATAAGAGAATTGCAGTAAACTCTGCAGTTGAATGTAAAATTTCCGTTGACGGTGGAGCTGGACTTTCCTGGTTCTCAGGAGTTGTTGCAATTTGATTTTCGTCATGGTTTCCCTACTGAAGTCTCTGGGTTTTGCTTCCTTAAGCTGTCCTCCTCTCCGGAATGTCTAACCTTTCTTTAAATCACCTTCTTCCTACAGTCCCATCACAAATCAATTGCACTCCCACAGTTACCGTTCAAATATAAATAAGTTAGTAAAATGATTTACCAAAATGTGGTAAAACAAATAGACCTATCCTGTGTTTTGTTTGAGGATTTTTTTGTTTTGTTTTCTAAAACATCCTTTTCCTTCTCTTTATGTTTCTAATCTAGAGCCTTATAGTAAGGGCTTTTTCTGTCTTGTCCATTAAATTGCATGCACATCAATAACACTGTGTATCAACATTCATTAATAAACGTTGGGTCCTCTATGTATCCCCCTTCCTGGGCAAGATTATTCCATACTGTGTATTTACTAGAGCTACATCCTGTCTACTTCAGCTACTCGAGTAAGTAGCAATATTTTAACTGCTGAGTATATAGTGTGCGTCATTTATTTGTCCTGACTAGTTCCACTGCTGATTTCATAAACATTTGGGGAAAGAAATACCAAACTAGCAAATATTTGGAGAACCCCCTAATGTAGGATCTTAAGAGGATGATATCGTCTCTCAGTTTGAAGATTAAAATCAGTCCTGTTCACAGCTGATTAACTTTGCTTTCTAATATTTCCCACAAATTGAGCTAATGTAATAAAACTTAACGAAACAAGGTTTAGTAAAGCCACAGAGAATATTTATATGACAGCAAGCTATAGAGTGGTTCAGGCTGTCCTGGCGTTCACTTTGTAATGGCTCTGTGTTTTACCCTGTCCAATGGATGGGTGTAGCAATGACAACGGTCCTTGTGTTGGGTAGAAACAACCTGTTTGCCAACTGAAAGGTGATGTGAATTAGCTGCACTATATTTTCTTTCTATCTGGTCAGTGATCAAGCGTTGCTTTCTTTCCCATCAGCTCTTACCAGTTCTCATTTTTTGGTCCTACAGAGTCATCAGCAAAGTGGTGCCAGCTCCAGAGGCCAAACCTGCTACTCCTGTGAGCCGGCCCAAAACACCTCCACCTGTGCCGTCACCGATACCAGCTCCCGTTCATGTCACCCCTCCTCCAGCTCCAGCTCCTCCTCCTCCACAGGCTACCGTCTCACCAGCCCTCATCCCACCGCCCTCTCCAGCCGTCTCCGCGGCAGGAGGCTCCAAAGCTCCGGTTAGGAGCGTGGTGACCGAGACCGTCAGTACTTACGTGGTAGGTAACACACACTGCCGTGTTTTATCCCAGTGCCAGTGACATTCAGCTCTTGAATTATGGAGCTCCTGGACTTGTGATGTTGCTCTCTATTAAGCTGCTCTTTATCCGGCTCTTGCTTCCATTAAAGTATTTTGAGGAGTTAATAACTTAATTAAAACACTACTACTTGGACTGAATTTTTTCTTTGTTCCCAATTCCATGTTAAAGTTTCTTCTAACAAGTCCGGTTATGTCCCACTTGGTATTTTCTGCTAACTGAGCTAGAGCATTTATTTTTGGAGGTGGAAATTTTTTTATAGATGGTTTCGTAAGTGCTGAATTGAAACCTCAAATGTCAAACTCACCATAGATTTTGCTGTCAGTCAGGTAAAGTACAAAACCCTCATACAACATCAAGAATTTGACTTAGCCCTCATTTGAAATGTGTAGAGTCCACTAATCTCTTTTCTGGGTTCCTCAACATACAGAAATTGCAGATGTTTGTGCATGTGGGAAAGATAGTTCATTAATCTACAGTTCATTAGTCTGTTTGACATATGCTCTGAACTTGGCCTCTGTTTGGTAACATTAAGACTTCTTTATTCTTTTAGACAAGTCTCCCATCTAACATGATGTAGGAACTACGTTCTCTGAAAGAACATGGACATACCTCTGGGCAGGACTAGGATTGCTATGCTACTGAAAATTTCCACTTTAGATGCAATGTAAAATGGATGTCCTGGCCGTTTCTGATCATTGAAGAGCAGCAGATACCATTAACACTGGTAGCAGTGTTGTTATCCTCCCTGTCCTGGCTAAGTTCCAGCTTGATTGGTGACACCTTGCTTATCTGTAGTGGGTAGCAGTTTAAAAATCTCACCATTTAAAACACCTAAAACTTGCTTTTATTACAGAGTTTCCTGTGCTTTAATTGCAACATATGCATGATTTTTCTCTCTTTTTTTTTAATTCCTGTTTTTATAATGATTCCTAGTGTAAATCTACCCTGCTGTTTCTAATGGAAAAGGTGCTCTTCCCTGCTGGACTTAAACTGTTGTATCATGTTACTGATCTCTATTTAAACAGCTGCTACGTTTCACTCCCGAGTTAGTTACAGCACTAGACAACCTCACATAGGCTGTGCATATCTTTAGTGTGCAGGATACACATCCTCACCTTCTGTGTATCACAGGTGTAAATGCAGTGTCGCTCTTATATATTACTGTAGTGCTGAGAAGCTTAGAAATTCACTCCGAAAGAGAAACATTTCCAAAATACTGTATTACATCCTGTTTTCTTCACTAAGGATTAAAAGCAAATAATTTGGAGATTATGGTAGTTTAAAGAAGGAAAGCCTAGAACTTTCCCTGGGTACTTCTAATGGTAGCACTCTTAACACCTTATGGAGAATTCAGAGGACATGTAGGCTGCAGGTTCTTTCTTTCTTTTACAATGTTATAGTTGAAACCAGGGCTTTCCTGCATTAGGATCCAACTATGTGCACGGGCAGAGGGACTCCTGATGTGAGATGTTTATGAGTCAAAAAGCTCATAGAGAGATTGGGGAAGAAGGGAATAATTAATAACTGTTAGCCTGTTGTATGAAGGGAATCCAGGACACAGAATGATGAAATGGCTTTCCCCAGGTTGCACAGTAAAGCTCTTCTAGAGATAAGATTGGAGCCAGTGTGACAGAGGTGTGCAACTCCCTTCTGCAGGCGAGGGCAGGAGGATGGTTTTATAGTTTAAAAAAAAAAACAAGATATGATGTAGGATCTCCCTGTAGGATAGTATCTCTGTAAGTGTGCTCTGATCATTAACTCTCAGCGGTTTGTGCTAAAATAGCATTCAGCAGTCACATACTGTCCCTCCTTCCACGACCCATGGCTCATTAAGGGGTGAGAAGTTACGCAATATTTTTAACATCCTCATTCAGCAGCCCAAGTTCTTGTTTAACAAACAAGCAGAGGTTTCACTGATTATAGACCACCCTGCCCCTCTCCAGCCCCTGAAAGACTGAGACAGGTATTCTGCAGACAAACATCGCCCCCTGAAAAACTTAAGTTTGGAAAAGTTAGGGTATCTGTCTTCTAATGGGGCAGCATTAGGCAGTGCTTACACCAGTGCCGAAAAGAGGCAGCACTGTGGATGGGGTGCCTGCCAAGTGCCTGTGCCCGTGCCGGAGGACGATGTGGGTACAGCCGGGCTGCTGAAGCAGGTTGTAAAGGGCCATAGCTGTCACCCCGACAGCCCGCAGCATCGCTTCTCTGCAGCACCATGGCACAGCATCTCCTCCTTCCCCAGCAGGATTATCCCACAGAAATGACTGCGGACCTCTTCATGCCACACGCAGACGCTTTACCTGCGGAGCAGATGCTTCTCTACCAACTTAAAATGACTTTGCAGATGTGAGATTAGATGCGTAGATAGGAATGATTATTGCAATCAATCAACTTAAAATGGAGTTCATTTTATGACGTTACCTATTCCATATCGCTGTTGGAAAGGGGATTGTTCCCTGCTTAATATTCCTGGGTTTTGTATTTTCTAGTTTAAACCACAAAAAAATTTAGGGCTATAAGAGGAGTCAGTCAAGAGTGATGTGTGGGTTGCAGCTCTGGTACATTCCTATTGATTTTTCAGGAAGCGATGTAAGAGGTACAGACCACCATGTAGTGGCTTTTTTTTTTCCTAAAAGCATTTGGGGCTTTTCATCTGCTACTTTTTAATGTCATTTTTTTAAGCTGTACAGATAGCAAAAAGTTATTGCTTTAGGGATGTGTAAATGCACAAAAGCTGAAAATAAAACAGTTTATGTTTTTGAGATTCAGTGATAGTGTGCAAATCTTCATAAAGTAATGATGAAATCAGGGTAATACCCCAGACGTTTTGTATTTGATATTGTTACTTGCACTTCTTTGGGTGGATTTCGTGACGTTTTGCATGTATGTTTTTACCAAAGAACTGTTAAAGAAACCACTTGAAACTTAAAAATACAAATAGTGGATCTAGCAGGATATAAACATAAAAAAAAATTCATAAAGCTCTGAATATGATACATCCAGTAAGCAGCTGCCTAATACTGTAAATGATCTGCCTTTCTTGTTTGGTTTACCCTTTAGTAAATTGTACTGTGACATAAATGTCATAAGGGGAATGGAAAGTTACTCAGTAACAACTTTTTTTATATCCTGATCTTATCAGCTAGTTGAAGTTGAAGACTTTGGCTAATAAGTAATATGGCAATATATACACATGGCACTGTATATTTTACATGCATATAAGACTGTTACCTTACGCAGGAGGCTGCCGTTGCTCGTTCTTGCCATTAAACAGGGTAGAATTGAAAAAGTCGCAATAGTATAGACAGAGAAAGAATTGTGTCTGTAAGCCCTGGCTGCTATATGTGAATGCCTCTGCATAGGTCAGGTGGTATAACTGGCTTTACTGGTTTACCAGACAATACAGAAAAATGCATGCTTTTGTCGTCATGTACAGTATAGGAAAATCAATTAAGACACAACGCTGAGCACTTATGATCAGAGAATTCATAAATAACAACAGTGGCTGCTGAATACCTTTGTCAGATAAGCAAGAAACTTTTTTTTTTTCCCCCCACATGTCAGTTTTGCTGCCTGCTTAGACCTGAAAACCAGCTAACTTTCCTTTTCTTTGCACCAGATCCGAGATGAGTGGGGTAACCAGATCTGGATCTGTCCTGGCTGTAACAAGCCAGATGATGGCAGTCCAATGATAGGTTGTGATGGCTGCGATGATTGGTATCACTGGTAAGTTGCTCTCATCCATCCTATTCTGCTGTTCCCTGGCAGATTTGGGGCTATATTATTGAAAACCTTGTATTTTTTTTATGGTTCGGGACACTGGAAATATTTGAATGGCTTTAGTGTGTCCAATTTAATAATCTGGAAGATATTTTTATCTGTTGTTTCTCTGGAATTTGAAGAAGCAGGTTTTAAGCTGTGAAGGAGACTTACTTTTTAATTAATGGGCATTGGTGATAACGGTTGTTTTTGAAACTGCTGGGAAATATTGCTGATTCTGGTAATTTTGTGAGAACTACAGGATTACGAGCGTAGTGTATACAGATAGACATTTCAAATTATGAAGCATTGTGTGAACAGTAATATAAATGTCAGCTCTTACAAAAGGGTTGGAGGGAATTAATCACTTTTTAGGCGTTTCCTTAAACAGCTACATAAAATCGTAAGGTTTTTTTGCAGATGTGTTAAAGGAACATTTGAAATTATTTTAAATCTAGCCTATTATACCTGAAAGTCCGCTCTTATTTCCTATTAAAATGACGTTTCTTATCTGAGTGTCTTTTTGATACATTTTCTTTTTGTTTCAAAGCAAGTGGTTTTTAGGTTTCTGTTCCATCATTATATTCATTAAGATAATGATAATATAATTGCTATATTAATTTGAAGGCCAGATCCTGTCTCCCACTGAAGAGTTTCATTTCTTTGAGTAAGAAACAAAAAATAACATTACTCTGCTGAGATGATATCCTATCTTCCTGTCCTTCACAGGCCTTGCGTTGGAATTACGACTGCACCCCCAGAAGAGATGCAATGGTTCTGCTCCAAGTGTGCCAACAAAAAGAAGGATAAAAAACACAAGAAGAGGAAGCACAGGGCACACTGAAGACTTTGCACTGGACTGAAGTCATGCGGTCACCGCAACATCTTCTGCCCTGACTCTGTCACAGGGAGGATCCATCCTGCTTGTGTCTCACCCTCCATCACTGGCTGTTAGGGTTATGACTCTGAAATGAATCAGGGGTGAGGAGATGCTCTCTGTCAGGGGCTGTTGCGTTTTGCAGACCATCCGAGCTCAGGGGGTTGGAATTTGGTACATTCTGATGCTGTCTTTCACCTACCGAGGGAAATTTGCACAGAGCGATATGAAGACTTTGGTAGTTCATGGTACCGCTCCCACTCCTGTGGCTTGGCAGCAACAAAGATGAATGTTGTAAATACAGATATCTGTCTTATTCTTTCTCGATTTGTTATTAATCCCTCTTGAACTTTTGCAGTAAGGTGCTGAGAGGAGAAGAAAATGTAAATTGCAGTAAATTGTAAACTGAGGAGACCTTCTGGAATGATTTCTTTAGTCTGGATACAGTTCAGCCTCTACTCCTGCTGAGCCAGATACTCATAATATGGAAATAAAAAGTGGCTGGTAAATATTTTTGTGACGAGAATATACGAAGCTTTTTTCCTTGATTTTTAGTACTAACATAAAATAAACACGTTCAAGCTTTTGTGATATATCTTCTATTTTTTAAAAAGAAAAGGTTTCTATTATGTCGATTTTTTTTTTCTTCCGTGTGAATTTATTTTGATGGACCTGTAATATATTTTATACTTTGTTTTTTGTTTTTTAGTCTTTGTCAATGTACCTTTTCATTGCTTGTACATTTCACTGGTGTGTAAAAACACTTCCCATTAAAAGATTTTCACACGTGTAAATACTTGATATTTATAAAGTACTTTTTTTTTTTTAATTATTTTTTAGGGCTTGAGGATTTTTATTTTTGTTTGCCTGAGAATACAAACCTAGCAGCTATTAAAAGCCCTCGCGACATACGCCCGTCCTTATGGCTTTAAGGGATTGGCAAGATCTGCCCCAGTGGTGCATGCACGAGGAGTCGGCCAGCACCATAATTAGGCCTCGATTCAGATACTTAAACATGTGGTAACTTCTTAAGAAGTGAGTAATCCTATTGCCTTCAAGGAGCCTGTTCCCACACTTCGTTATACATGTGCTTAAATGCCTTCTGAATTGAGAGTTTAGGCCAGGGGACTCTGCACTTTTAATGGTAGCTACAGGGTGTTAATCTGTAGCTGGAAATGAGCTTTTTTTTTCTTTCTTTTTTTTTTTTCTTTTTTAACAAGTGGTAGTGAGTTTGCCAAAATGATCAGGCTTGTGTTTAGATGGAGGAGATGCAGAATGGCGTCGAGGCCAGAAGATGCATTATTCTGCTTTGTGTATCCCCTTGGAAAGACCAATAAAGTGAATACGAGTTGTATTCCCCATTGAAAATGAAAATGAGGGGCGAAACTGCAGAGTAAAAAAAAAAAAAAAAGGTCAGTGTTAGATATTGTAGTGCAATACGTCTCAGAGCTAAGTAAAATGTAAGAATAAACTTGGGAAAAAAAATTATGCCTTTTGTTTCTGAAGCAATTTTAGACTTCATTGGTTAATTTGGGGATATTTCTACTTTAAACCGTACAGTGAGAAACATCTGATGTTTGAGAATATGACCCTTTAACCTGTTGCACAGATATTAAGAGTTATTTTTTAAATGCATCCAAATTGATATTAATGAGAATGAATTAGTCATGTTTTTAAAAGTACCAGTCTAGTTAGGGAAATGAGGCTTTGCTGATAGAACTGTTAAATTGCAAATCGGTGGAGATATGGATGAAATTGGTTTATTAAATGCGCACTGTTACCTTCTTTGTTCAATGCCACCTCATTTATATTCCGTCCTTGCTAATTACCAGTCAAGAAAGTTCCTGGGTTTGATTTTTTTTGTTTTATTTTATTTTGAATTGTTGGATGTTGCAAACCTGATTCTTGTTTTTTTTTCCATGTGTAATGTGCAGACATACAAAATACAGAGTCTTTGGTCATTTCTGGTTGCAATAATAAAGAACTAGCTTTTGGTAAGTTGTTTATCCATTTCCTCCTCCCCTCCGTTAATCAGAACTTCTCACATTTAATCAACTAAATTATTCAAGGTGCCGTGGGAGGGCTGAACTTTGCCATTTTGCTGGCCGTTCAGCTATTTCTATGCATGCTTGTGCATTGCTGCTGCCGGGTTGGTTTCCTACCCCGGGTTTTATGATTTTATAAATGACCTCTGTGGCAATAAAACCAAAGCATCATTTTCAGGAGGCCTGTGTGGCTGACGGGATTAGTAATGGGAGAAGGGGCCCTTCACCTCCGGGTCATCGGTTTGAAGCCAGCCTTGGTCCGTAGCCGTGCAGAGCCTGCCTCCCCTTTCACTTACCCTGGTGTGTATCAGGAATCGTGGTAAAAAAGAATAATTGGCTTCCAAAAATAGTTACCCCCTGAGCAACCGTGTGCCATGGACCTTCCATATGGCCTCACATACCACCCAACGCTGAACAAGCCCAGCTGCTTCCCCAGATGTTTGTGTTTGCTGCTATAACTTGATGAGTTGTGTTTCTTCTCCATAAACTCTGCCAGAGCTAGGGCTGCTCCCTTGATTCGCTGTTTGGTTTCATTGTTGAGCATTTGTGTTCCTCTGAATCCTTTTGAGTTGGGTTTTGCATACCTCTGTCCATGGGAAGAGGGCACGGCGGGTGGGTTGCACGTTGGTTTGCTCTTTAGATGTCACAGGAGAGCATCAGTGTTTCTGAATGGTTTTCCTGCCTCAAAGGGCAGCTTCATCCAAGAGGAAAGTGAGCACTGCCTCTGGAAAACATCTATTTCTGTGGGTAGTTGGAGTAGAACTGGTTAAAAGTTTAGAAAGTAAAGAATTAAAGAATTTTCAGCAAGGAGAAAACAACTTGCCATCTGCTCACAGTATGAAGAGAAGACGAATACAATTTTCCCCCCTTTACTGATGCACCATACATAGTGGATTTAAGCGGTACAGTGAGTATTGGAAGCAAATATTCAAGAAAAGAGCGTAAAAGCTATTCCGTGAGAAAAGCTTGTTGAATCCTGCCTTTACTCTGGGGCCAGATTATTATCTGGAGTCAGTTGGGAGTCAGCTGGAGCTGTGTCAGTTTACACCAGCCCAGGAGCTGCCCGCTCGCGCAGCTGACTTTGGGGCTGGGGAGCAGCTCCGTTTATTGTGAAACGAGGCAAGGTGGGGTTTTTTTATCATTTTTATCCTGTAAATCCTCCTTTAGGGCAGCCTGTGCCTGCAGGTTGCTGGAGTAAACGGCAGTGCTGGGCGCTTGCTGCAAAGCATGTTAGTCATTAGGCAAAATTGCAACTTGTTAATGAATTTTGCACCCAGAAAAATCTATGACGTTAATATCGAGATGGTAAGAACAGAGCTCAGAAACAGAAGAAAGTTATCTTGACTACTGATTTTTATTGGAGGGCAGAGATATAAATGCAGAGCATCCATCCTTGGAGTAATGGGGATGCACTTTTCCTGAGATAATCTTCCTTCAGGGCTGTATGTCGTGCTCAAAGCATCATTTCTCTGCTTGACAAGGTGTTTCTCTTCTGAAGGTGTCCGCAGCTAAGTACAGTGAGGATCTTTATTCTCAGCAACTGATTTGTGATTCCAAATGTCCTGGAAGAGAAAGGGAATAAAAAAAAAAAAACGAATCGGAGGGTATCAGAGCCTGCTGACTTTGTCTGGGCTTTCCAGAGATAAAATATAGTGTATTACTTCACTGTATCACCTAAACCTTCTTTGTTCTCCTTTCAATAGGACGATTAAACAAAGACCTACTAACCAAATTAAAGTATAAAATGAACGCTGAGATATGGAAACCTTGCCAGGAAGAATGTTAATGAATGAAGTTCACTAAAGGCATGCTGGCTAAGTTTTCAATACAAATAGTTTTATGGCCAATCTCTTTAGATCATAGCAGTTTTCTTTAGAAGTTTTAAGTCTCAAAAGTAGATGAGTTTCCTTCACCGGGGAATGAATTAGATAATGCTCTGAATAAACTCCCTCTTCGCGGTCTTGTCAGTCATGCTACTTAGGAAACTCTCCCTTTCTTCTGGGGACTTTCGGATCAGCTGTAACCTAAAAAGTAGAAAGCTGCTATTAATCCATGTGTGCTGTATGGCAGAGGAGGCTGTAACGGGAGATTTACGGCCAGCAAACAGCTCGTACCTGGCTGATGTGAGCAGAAGCCTTTAAACGTGAGCTAGGGCAGCTGATCCTGCTGTGCTTTCCCTCGAAGGTGCTGTTTTAAGGTTTACACCGGGTGAAGGAGGGACAGACTTTTTAACAGAGCCTGTAGCGATAAGACAAGGGGTAATGGTTTTAAACTAAACGAAGGTAGATTTAGATCAGATATAAGGAGGGTATTTTTTATGATGAGGGTGGTGAGGCAGTGGCAGAGATTGCCCAGAGAAGCTGTGGATGCCCCATCCCTGGAAGTGTTCAAGGCCAGGTTGGATGGGGCTGTGAGCAACCTGGTCTGGTGGAAGGTGTCCCTGCCCACGGCAGGGGGTTGGAACTGGATGGGCTTTAAGGTCCCTTCCAACCAAACCATTCTAGGATTCTAAGGTGCAGCCCTTCGTGCTTATGGAGTGACCTTTTGCACCAGGACTTTAAATCCTGTGATGCTTTCCAGAGGTGAGAGAGGAGGAGAGCTGGGTGCTACAGGACCACTGTGCCCCCTTCGCCCACTCCCCCTTGACAGTCTCCCCTATAATTTTTCCTTCCAGCCCTTGCTTGCTCCAGAGACCCTGACCCTTGACTCAGGTTTCTGGTGGTCAGTGCCAAAACCACAGCACCTCGACATCTGTTGGGTGCCTTGCATGGACAGAGCCTTGCTTTCAAATATGGTGGCACCAAGCAGGTGCTAGTAGTTGAGATTTGGTGGAATATTGCTACCTGGAGCTATGACCAAGGAAACCAATTTTTCAAAAAGCGAAATATCAAGTAAACCCAGGATAGGTGGAAGATCTTCCACATATTTTTTAAAACACAAGGAGAAAGTCTTTTCTAATGAATACACAGCTCCTAGTTGTGTTCGCAATGTAAGCGTTCCTGTAAAGACTTTGAAACAGATTTATAAAACCAAACAGAAAATAATTAGATTATCTTATTGCCTAAATGAGGGGATGAGGGAAAAAGAGACTTAAAACACATTTACAAAAATTTCGTTTTCATCGCCTGTCATGAGTAGGAATTTGGTTTATAAATTAAAAAGCCTTGCCTGTCAATTCCTCCCTAAGCCAGCGTGGTTTGACAACTTACTGTGCCTGTCGTTTGCTGACTGTGGGACTAATGACAAGTGTGATGGGGTGTCACCCTTCCACCGCCCTCGTGTCACCCAGGGCCTCCGGCACAGCTACTGCTTAGCTGCATGCAGGAGACCTTCAGTCTTCTTCCTTCAAGCTGATCCCTCCTCAAATGCGGAGCTGGGCACCATTTTCTCTGGATTTTAAAAAAAAAAAAAAAAAAAAAATCCCTTATTCAGAAACAAATGAGGAAATAAGGGCAGGGAATACTATGCACTTGTTTATTTTTAATTGAGATGTCATTTACAGCACTTTTCTAATAAGTGCTGTAAGAATTGTCACTTTTAGGGTATAC